AGAGACAGAGACAGAGACAGAGACAGAGACAGAGACAGAGACAGAGACAGAGACAGAGACAGAGACAGAGACAGAGACAGAGACAGAGACAACACACTCAGCTTTATTCTCCTGACACCCATGCTGCTGAAATCAAAATTCGTTTTCAGATCTTTTTTGCATGATAAATCAAAATCTGGATTTTAAAAAAAGGTAAGAAACAAGTAGGCTGAGTGCATGAGATATACACTTCAGCTCCCCCCACCCACCAACCAGAAATCCAGCCTCTCTACTCCACGTACACTTAGCAAGGCCCTACCCTCTGACTTTTCCCTAACCCCAGGAAGAAAAAAAAACATTACTCACTTTCCATGTGAGTAGGTCAATTTGTTGTTCTCCGATGGTATCTTAGCCAGGATCTGTTCTGTCACCTCCAGGAAGTTCCCTCCGCACCAGGCATGTTTGGCAAGGATAGTTGTGCCCCTGGCAACAACGGCAAACAGGATGGCCATGGTTTCACTCTATCGAGAGAGAGAGAGAGAGAGAGAGCGTGTGCACGCACATACATAGACAGGGTTACAACACTTCCTCTACAGAGCCCTTAGGTAAGCACACCAGTCTAAACAGCATCTTCACAATCATCAGCATGGTAGAAGTAGAACTGTCTAGTACTTGACAGGTTACCACTACCAACACTAACTCTTCCTTCATCTTCTTCCATTTCCCCTTCGCAGGCTGCTCAGTACAGTAGGTAAGATTATACTGACCTCTAAAAAGGTTCCAGTTTGATGCATCACAAAACAGCTTGCAGTTTGCCACCCTCCCACTCTCTTCCTCAACTGAAAGAGTTCAGTTCTTGCAAGATGTCAAAAAACTGAATTTCACACTTCCGTTCTATTTGCATGCTATGAACAATTGACCATGTTCTGCTCATAAAAGAACCAATCTATAGTCACTGGTTTCATCACACAAGGAGCACAGCTGCAAGATATCTATCATTACATTAAGTACCACAACGGTTTCATAGTTGATAGGGTCAGAAGGGACCTGAGCAGATCATCAAGTCTGACCCCCTGCCATGGGCAGGAAAGGATGCTAGGGGTCAAATGACCCCAGATGGGTCTTCAAAAGGAGGCTAGATAATCACCTAAGGTAGGAGGGACCACCACTTGCCTTGGAAGTTGGTTCCAGATCCTAGCCACCTTAACTGTGAAGTAGTGCCTCCC